AAAAAAAGTCTTTTAAAAAAGTCTATAAAGTCTCTACAATTCTAAAATGTCTTTTAAAATCTATAGGATTTTTTATCTCAAAAAAGTCTTTTAAAATCCTAATCCAATACACCCCTATTTTTTAATTGTTAAATTATTTTCTTGAAAATTAGTGTGTTATTGAAAATTTTTGTAATTAAATTAATTCTTTAAAAAATTATCTAGCTATATCACAATAATCTTTTAAATTAAGCGGATCAGACCTTCATACTCCAAAATATTGTTTCAATGCTTTGAAACCTGCAACTAATTTTCTTCTCAAATCAATTTCCACACACATTTCCTTACAAACCTTCCTCGAGTCGAGGATATTGAGTGGTTGTTAGTTCATCAACATTGTTGTTTTAATATGGAATCATTGCATCTGCATGTATGAAGTAACGATATGATTATCTTGATGAGTAATCCATTTTTATAGACTGCCTGATGGCTTTCTTTCGATATGTATTCGTTACAATGTGTAAAAGACTAATCACTAAAGTAAAGAGCAGTCGTTATGGTTTACTATTTTACTAAAATGCCCATGACGTGCTTGTGAGGTCTTCAAATGCATTTGTGCAATTGCCAATTGCACTTAAAAGTTATGGGCGTTATGCTTTATTGGCTTGTTTGACTTTGCATTGATTGTTAGGTGTGATCTCACATATGAATGATATGATATTATAAATAAAATATTTCCCTTCCTTTTATCCATCATCAGATCTATTGCAATTTGAAACCTTTCATGACTATTTTCTTCATCAATATTGACATGGCTGTTATTGGTGGTTTATCAAATTGTTTTAGGTACATCTATTTGGTTGAGTGGCTTTGTTTTTACCTTTTTATAAGTTAAATATGTTTTTACCAAAGCTTTTATTATAAATAGAGCTTTTTGTTATAATGAATAAAAAAAGCAAAAGCTAAATATATATTAACTTTTTTGAGTTCTCATATTTGTTTTTTAGTTTCATTATTATTCTAAATTTCTATTTATCAATTTTATTCTTTATCCCAATAATCCATCTTAATAATAAATTACTTCATCTTTCCTTCTTTAAAATTCTCAAAATAACTTTATATAATTACCTAACAATTTTTAAGCTTAGAATAATAATGAAACCAGTACTGTACGCAGTCGGTGGAGGTAATAAGCTTTTCTCTCTACTTCAACTTGACTTCTAGATAAACTGTTTATGGAATTAATTCATTCACAATTTTGAGGGGAGTTCGGGCCTCTTAGCAATGCTCAAAACGATTTCGACTATAGTCACAAGAACTCCCAAGGTGGTTTACATGGGTACAGATTATTTGAATCTAGGAGTGTTGGCGGTTTGGATTGGATCGGTTTTGGAAGCAAAAATCATCCGATCCAATTCTTTCAGTTTGATTATGTAATCATTCATTTGGTTTGATTTTTTTTCAAATCCATCCAATCCAATTTTTTCCGGTTTAGATTGGTTCGATTTTCGGTTTTTTGAAAATCCTAAATATTGTTTTATGATTATTGTGCAAATAACATCTTTTGTATATATTGGTTTTGTAATTTTATTTTATTTTCTAAATACAAAAGCAAAAATAAATGATAATATAGTTTTTTCTTTTTTTGGAAAATGAGATATGAACTTCTACATAGATGAAATTTTGTTGATAAGAAGTGACTAGGTTTTTTTTTTTTTTTTTGGATTTAGTTTATGGGTTAATGGGTCTTGGGTTTAGAATTTTTTGAGTTATGATTAGGAAAAGACCCAAGTAGGTAGAGGAAAATTAATATATTGGATCGGTTTGGATCTACCAATCCAAAAACCGATTCAATCCAATTAAAATTTGCGGTTCTTTTTCGGTTTTTGATTTTTCGGTTTTCGGTTTATTCGGTTATCAGTTTTTCGATTCGGTCACCGTGGTTTGAATCGGTTTGGATCAGTTGATGAACACCTTTATTTGAATCATCGCTTACTTTTTTTTATGTTTCTATATAATTTTTTCTATTTTTAAAATAATAGCATCCTTATATCGTAGTTGTAGGTTTTTTTTTTACCCTTTTGCCTTTCGTTAATTAATTAATAACTATTTTGCCCCTTATCCAAAATTATCTACCAATCTGCCCCTCTTTAATCGATTAACTTGTAGATTTAATCGATTAAATGGTCAAAACTAGCAAAAAATGATTGACTTGAAGATTTAATCGATTAAATATCTCTTTTAAACGATTAAATATCCCTCTTAATTGATTTAATCGATTAAAACTTATATTTAATTGATTAAATATCCCAAATGAGCGTGAAAGCATTGATTGAATGAGACAAACACGATATTGGAGGTTATTAGAATTTTGAATTTAATGTAATAAAAGTTGATTGCGATTTGTATTTAATAGGAGCTGATTGCGTCCTATTAAATACAAAACGCAATCAGCTCTTATTAAATACAAATCGCAATCAACTCCTATTACATTAAATTCAAAATTCAAAATTCAAAATTCAAAAAACTTCTAATACACGGAAAACTGATTGAAGATTTTGCTAATTATTTTTATGATAAATATGCAAGACGGGAATGGTTCGTTGTTCGCCTTGATCGCTGTCATCGTTCCGAGGTTGACAGTAGGATCACTTTGCACCGTTTTATGTAATAAGCAAGGTTTTAATGTGAGAGGTAGAAATGGAGCTAGACTTGTTCATGTAAATCAATCCAGTTTCCAAGAATCATTTTTCTTTTATTGGTTTCTTTGTTTGTTTGGTTATCTATGCTTGTTGATTTGCTTCATATGCATGGAATCTGCTTTTGTTTACGAAGGAGATTTGACCTTTGTTGCCTGTTGTTAGATTTAATCGATTAACTTGAAGATTTAATCGATGAAATCTTCAAGTCAACCTTTTTTACTAGTTCTGACCATTTAATGGATTAAATCTTCAAGTTAATCGATTAAAGAGGGACATATTAGTAGATAGTTTTGAATAAGGAGCATGCGGTGTGTCATACGCAGAAGCAGGTATTTCATGCTTTATCTGCAACAACTTTGAACCAAAACACTCCGTCTCTCTCAAGCATAGTTACTTCCATTTGAAAGTTCAAACCCTAATACAGTGACAAGTTCTAAAGTTAAAATGGGTAGGAAGGAAAACGTAAAATCACTCGTATAACGAAGTATTGGTGAGGAAAAATGTAAGTAAGATTTGTATTTTGAATTTAAAGAATATATGATTAATGGTGTCTAGCATGATTGACAAGGGCTCTCCCTAATAAATCCAAGTTTCCTTTATCAGTTTAATCATTTAATTCTTTGAGAAAAAAAGTCATTTAGTAAAAATCATATATTGTAAAACCATTAAAAATCATATATTGTGTTTTATCTTATTTTGCATACAGGAAGGGGTATTATTCTATGGGGTTTTAGTTTGTCCTTTAACATGACAAGAAAAAATTTCCTACACACACAACATTTTGTGGGATCCGCACTTTTTAAAGCAAAAAAAATAAAATTAAGGGGGTGTATTGGATTTAGATTTCAAAGGATTTTAATGGATTATTTTTGGACAAAAAAATCCGTTGGTATTCGATTAGGATTTTAATGGATTGAAAAAAAGTCACATGGTATTTGATTAAGATTTTAAAGGATTATTTTAGAATCCGTCCAAATCCATTGGAAAGATTATATTTTTTTATAGGGAATATTATACTTACAACCTATTTTTGTTTACAACATTTTACAACCATATCTTAACCGTTGATTTCCGTCAATCAATGGTTATTATTTTCGCAAATCAAACTCATTAATTAATATTTAATATGCAATGAATGATAACCGTTGATTGACGAAAATCAACGGTTAAGATATGGTTGTAAAATGTTGTAAACAAAAATAGGTTGTAAGTATAACATTTCCCTTTTGTATTGACTCTTGTAATTTTGAATGTTTGTTAAAAATTCATATGATTTTTTAAAATCTTGTAAATCCATATTGTCTTTTCAAATCTTATAAATTCTATTAAAATCTTTTAAAATTTAATTTTATGAAATCTTGATTGTAAAAAAAAGTATTTTAAAAAAATCTTTAAAGTCTTTCCAATTCTAAAATGTCTTTTAAAATTTCTAGGATTTTTTATATCAAAAAAATCTTTTAAAATCCTAATCCATACACCCCCTAAGATGATCAGAACGTATATAAGAAAGGGATTGGGGTTTCTTCTTCTAGTTCTGCATTCCTCCTCTTACACCGTCACTTTATATTTTTCTCTGTTCTTCAACTTTGGTTCCCTTCAAAACTCGTCAACGTCATTGTGAAAGGGTGTTCCTCCAGCACAAGGTATTACTACTAATACTACTATGCTAATCGCCTCATCGCTTTCTTCTTTTTTGAAAAATTTCCTCGTTTAATCCTCAGCTTTGATTGAATGAAAGAATATACGAACAAGGACAAAAGATTTATCCTAGTCGTGCCAAAAAATCTTATTGGCAAACTGGAAATATCATTGAGCATGATAAATAATAGTTTTATAAGAATTATGTTGTAGGAAAAGTGATCGTATTAAGTGTCGTAATTTTTTTTTTCTTCAACTTTTTTGTGTCATGATAAATGTTAAACGATGAATGAAAAACTTTTTTTTTCTTGGCTTCTGGTTATTATTTTTTTCTTCAACTTTTTTGTGTCATGTTGGGTATGACTCATACTTCGCATGCCCTAATTATCGGGGTCAGCAGAAAGGCAACTGGGGTTAGCAGTTTGGGCTTGGGCCCATGAATAGCTGTTGTTTGGGTTTTCTAATCCTATTTATATTTTACTTGTAAAACCGAGTGACTCGTAACTAGTGGTGGTGAGGAGAATATAGTACATTAGGTGAACCAGGGTAAATCATTGTGCTAATATCTCTACTCTTATCTCTCTCTCTTTTTTTTCTTGATTTTGTGTCATTATCGATTTTTTTCAACACGCTCTAGTGTGTATGTGATTATCGACTTCATCATACAATTCTCATTTGCAGATGTCACATCAATCAGAACGTATACGTGAGTCTGACTTCAAGTACTACGAGCGTAGATATTATGATGATTTGAAGAATGGTTGCTTTACAATCAAAATCTCAAATTCAACATATAGGTGTCCCTTTTGCCTGGACAGGCAGGATTACTCCTCGAGTGAGCTTTTAAAACATGCATCAAGATTTGCCAAGGGTTCACATAGCAGAGAGATAGAAGATAGAGCGAAGCACTCTGCCCTTCAGTTATACATTGAAAGGTATCATGATGTGAATATTACATCCGAACCTGTTGGCAAGGATCAATTATTTGTCTGGCCTTGGAAGGGTATTGTTGCTAACATTGCTACGGAAATTAAAAACGGAAGGTATGTTGGAGAAAGTGGTACAAAACTAAGGGAGGAGTTTACCCTAAAAGGATTTCGCCCCTTGAGAGTTCATCCTCTGTGGAACCATAATGGACATTCAGGCTTTGCCATTGTCGAATTCAGCACAGAATGGGATGGTTTCACCAATGCTATTAACTTTGAAAGGAGCTTTGAAGCGGAACATTGTGGTAAGAAGGATTACTACAGTTTAAAATGCCGAGGAGATAGACTCTACGGATGGTTGGCCCGCGATGACGACTATCACATGAATAGTATAATTGGTGCTCACCTTCGTAAAAAAGGGAACTTGAAAACTGTTTCTGAAAAACAAGCAGATGACAAAAGGAAAAAATCACAGCTTGTCTCAAGTTTAGCTAATACCTTGAAAATGAAGAATAAGGAGTTGGAATGGGTACGAAGCAAATATGATGAGATTGATTTGTCCCTGAACAAAGTGATAGAACAGAAAGAGGAGATGATTAAATCATTTAATAATGGTATGTTGAAACATCAAATCAATTGTTCTAGTTCGTGTGTGTGTGTTTTTTAATTTTTTTAATAGCTTACTGTGTTTCCCTTAGTTGATTGGTGATGTTTTTTTTTTTTGTATGATTATATCTATCCTAATAGCTTGCTGCCGGTTTTACTCTTTAGTGAATTATTCTAGTTCTTTGTGATTTTCTAATCTTTATGGTAACTTACTGTGTTTGACCCTGTTCCATCAGAAATACAAAAGATGCAGCAGAGTGACCGTGATCATTTGGAGAAGATTCTTATGGATCATGAAAAAGCCAAATTGCGACTGGAAGCTCAGAAGAAAGAGCTTCTGAACCGTGAGAAAGATCTCCAGAGGCGTCAAGAACGGAATGAAAATGAGAGAGAAAAGATATATCTGAAGAAGAAAAATGTAAACTATTTTGCCTGTGTAAATTTATGGATAAGCGAGTAATTTTGTGTCAAATTCCAAACGACACACCTAATTTTAATAATTTTAAGACTGATGAACTTTTTTCTTCATTTTTTTTTGTTTGCAGAATGAGATGGCAATAATGGAGCAAAACAAAGCCGATGAGAAAATTATGCATTTGGCTGAAGAACAAAAGGCACAAATTTCATTTTCTTCTATCTGGGGTAGATAATTCAGTTACATGTATCCATTTAAGATTTTGACTTGGTCATTTTGTGGTTGAAATTTGCAGAAACAAAAGGAGAAACTGCATAGAAAAATTCATGAACTACAAAGAAAACTCGATGCCAAACAAGCATTGGAATTGGAGATCGAACACATGAGGGGAGCTCTTCAAGTAATGAAACACATGGGGGAGGATGAAGATTTGGAGGAGAAGAAAAAATTGGATGCAATTAAATCGAATCTGCAGGAAAAGGAGAAGGAGTTAGAAGCAATGGAAGAACTTGAACAAACTCTTGTTGTCAAGGAACGTAAAACCAATGACGAATTGCAAGATGCTCGCAAGGAATTAATTAGTGTATGTATCTTTTTCTGTGCATAAATGTGAATCTCTTCGATGTGATTATGTCTTTAGGCCTTCAATTCATTCAATGGTTTGAAAATCAACTTTGGAATATCTTCTCTAAATTATTTTCAAAACCAGGATAGAGGGCTTTTTTTGTATGAAATGCGTGGTAAACTCACCACAAATTAAGGTTGTTTGCATTTTTTTTTCATGCTGCTTCTTTATAGGATCTGATGCTTAAAGTTAAACTTCTAGCAAAATAAGCTCTATAATTTCTTGGTACAAGTAAGCTCTATAATTTCAGTTAGCTTCTTGTGTTACTGTTGCTACCATGGTTTTGTCATTTGCGAGCCTTGGAGCAGTGGTAAGTTTGCTTCTTGTGAACAGAAGGTCATGAATTCAAGTTTGAGAAACAATCTCTTTGTAATATTGTAAGGATAAGGTTGCTTACAATCGATCTTTCATTCCTACCCTCGTGCATCGGAAAGCCTTGTGCATTGTGGGTTTGGTTTTTTTTTTTTTTTTTTTTTCAATCTGATTTCCTTGTTCACAGGGGATAGGGGAGACGACTCGGGCATTTATTGGTGTTAAAAGAATGGGGGAGCTTGATGGTAAGCCGTTTGAGAAAGCAGCTAAGAGAAAATTTGCTAATGATGAAGTGAATGTGAAAGCTGTGGAGTTGTGCTCACGGTGGGAGGCTTATCTTAGAGATCCAAGCTGGCATCCATATAAAGTTTTATTAGATAAAGCTGGGAACGCTAAGGTACAATAATCAAAATTACATGTGTTCAAATGGAAGTTATCTTTTTTATCTCTAGGAAATGTTCATGTGGTCATTTTAATTGCGGATGCCGGATATTATCTGATTGCCTCATTGTTCATGCTGATTATTGCTTAAAAAACAAAATGCATCATTTCGCAATAGCTACAAAATAATAAGGTATTGCTTAAAAAACAATATTATCTTTTATATATCTTAACAGATTTATTGGCCGATCAAGGTGCCTATTGTTGTTCTATGCATGGTCCATGATCTAAGTCTATGTTGGATTTGTTATGCAGGAAATTTTAGATGAAGAAGATGAAAAACTGAGAATATTAAAGGATGAGTTCGGTGATGAGGTCTTTCGAGCTGTGGCTACAGCTCTGACGGAGTTGAATGAGTACAATCCTAGTGGTAGATACCCATTACCGGAGCTCTGGAATTTTAAGGAAGGAAGGAAGGCTTCATTGAAGGAGGGTGTTTCGCATATAATCAATCAATGGAAATTGTCAAAACGAAGGAAAACCTGAGGCTTCGTTTGTATGGATTAATTAGGACTGATATACAGAATTTAAAACCTGAAGCTTGATTTTGCATTTGTTATTATGGTATTCTTACAAGTACCATACTCAAGTATCCTACTTTATTTTTTTACACTAGCTGTTTAGAAGCTACGGTATTTTTAGAGGTATAATATTCAAAGTGAATTATAAAAATATTTATCATATAACTATAAATATTTGTGAATCTATTTAACATAATAAACAAGGGTTGTGTAAGAGATAATTTTATCTAGAAATAATAAATCCTAATAAACAATCAATCACTACAAAAATTCAAGCATTTTGTGGGGGTCATATTTTCATATTGTGGGGGTCTTTGACCTCCACAAAGTACATTTGTGGCATTATTCTTTGATAACTTTTTTCATAAACTTGTCATGATCTGAGTCTAAAATCTTGAGGGATGCATCCCAGCAGATGCAAGTATTTTACAAGCATGTTAAAATAATAAAAAGAAATTCTAATCCTAATTAGACTTATAGTTATCTTTTTAACATGCTTAGCGCATATGGCATAAATGTCCCATGACAAGTGTTAAAAATGTGTATTATTATATTTAGGTTCAGTGTATCGTGTAAATATACTAATTAAAATAATTACATCTTTATAAATAATTAAATATTACATTCATTATACTAATATCAAGTCCATGGTGTAGTTGAGACAAATTTTGACATATTCTTCTCTTTTCCCTCTATTAACAGACAGGATAATCAAGAGAGAGATGACAAAATCCAATTCAATAATCTAATTAATTATGCCAGCAACAGAATATATATACTGATTCTGATAATCTAAACAACAATTAATAGATGAGTCTAAAACCTTATGTTTTTAATATGGGTTCAGTGCCATACCAGCTTTTATATTAATTGATACGAAACTTACAAGAATCTCACCTCAAAAATTAGCTCGTAAGGTAGGAAAATCCAAAATCCATATAAACCTCGTACCACAATCTTATGTTTCCAATCTGAGACTCGAGACTCATCTCTCAAACCTTGCAATGAGATCGTAACAATAAACACTATATAAAGTGCATACCAAAAAAAAAAAAACTATATAAAGTGGAAAAAAAGGACTCGGAAGAGGAATTCGAGAGCTTTTCTATGGCTTCCAACCTTTTCTTTTGTTTAAAATTCTCATATCACAGAATTCATTACACAACTCAATTGGCAACGACAACAAAAAAATGTACCGAATGCTTTTCAAGCAATGCTACTATCACGGCAGCATTTATTAATGAACCACGTGTAAACTGATATTATAATATAATAGAATTACATTAAATTAATCTTACTTGCAATCTTTTCGCTTCTATGTACATCATTTTGATGATCACCACAACAAATCCTTCAAACTAGCATTGCGTCCAACAATTTGACAACCTCATGCATTTCAGGCCTGTCTTTCTGCAACTCATTAGTAAACAGTGACTGTACTGCTTTAAGGTGAATTGCGAACTTTGATAAATTAAGTTATCACCTATATGGAGAAGATCAAGTGAGAATATGTACTTATAAACATATATTTCAAAAAAAAAAATGCTAAAACTTTTTAATCATTTTTTCTGCAACATCATATGGTCTATTGTGCAAAGATTCCATGGATTCGCAGCTCTTCCATCCGGTGTTAGATCTTGCAAGGGATTTTTATTTATGCATGCTTTGTTGAGAAACCTAGTCAATGAAATTACTGCTTAAGCCTCTGCTTTAAATTTACTAAAAATGTTTTACAGGAGTACTAAGCTCAAGTGAAGCAGAAATCGAACAATAGCATATATCTGCGCAGGTTTCAGTCTGATGCTAACATATTCTTGAATATTAAGTAATACATGGCACATGATCACCAATATTGTATACTCTCTTAGAGAGTGAAAAAAAGTATTCCAACTTATAGCAACTCTAATACCAAGTGGGGGATCTTCAAGCATACAAGTAAAAAGTTAAACAACAACTATGCTTCTTGTCCAAAAGGGGTATTTCATTATTTAATGACTGATTTTGATGCAATCAGTAACCTTGTTTAAACAATATTGAACATTTCATAACAATTTGTTGACATCCAAAGCATGATAAATGACAAAAGAAATAAATTGTACCTTAATTTTTCAGTTGGCATTATTTTAGATGCTACACAAGATGGTTGGTTGTTCGATAAACCCCAAAGCTTTACCTGCAACAAATAACACCAGTCAAACGAGATGAATTCCAATCTGCAGGATACGGTATACAGGAAAATAACAAATTAACTTCAATATTACCGTTTTATCCATGGAACCAGTAGCAAGAAGCTTCACGAAGTCACGTCAACAGGGCAGGGTTAAACTAAAGTACATAATAAGCTTATTTTCTCACCAAAATGTTGAAGATACGTACATTAGGTACTGAAAGATTTTAGGATAGTGAGGTAACAGCTTTGTCATGTGCATAGAGTGTAAACGTAGGACTCAGCTCAGATGTGGAATCAGACTTGGCAGTCCGAACATCAAAACAATTTACAACACCATCTTCAAGACTCACCTAACAGGACAATTAAATCACTATTAGTGAACTAATATATCCATGCATCCAAGAAATCAAAATACATAATTCACCCGATAGAAAAAGAACCGGCCCCCTCCCCCAAAACCCCTTTTTATTTAACATACATTAAATAATCAAAATAAAAACAAAATACTAGGAAGGTAGTAGCTAAAAGAATGTTAGCTACGCTTTTATCAAAAAAGATAGAAAAAAATGCTAGTGTTTTTTTATCAGAAAAATGAAAAAAAAAAAATGTTCGTACTTAGGCCCTTAGAAATAACCATAACACACCACAAAAAAGTTCTCAGTGTGCGGATCCCATGCCAAGCTCTCTACATCAGCTGTGACTGACCACTTAAAGCCAGAATGTGATGGCATCCTACCATCCTTCTGCAAAGTATAATAGCATTAAAAAATTTAGATAACTAAATGAATATTTAAACAAATGAGTGAAGGCTTTCAAAGTTCACATATATTTGTTTTCAAAGAAAATGTCTCTTGTAGCATATGGACAGTACCACATGATAAGTAATCAATGCCAGAACAAAATACAAAAAAGCAGAGTAACCAAGGAACATTGCATCATTACCAAGACAACCGTATGATCAAACGATCCACTAAGAAGAACCTGTGGTGCATGATAATTCCAAGCAACTGCTTGAACCTGTGAGGATAGATAGACAAGAGATAAAAGACCGTCAGTTTCTATTCCAAACATATCTAATATATTGAAAAGTTTCCTCTCACTTTCTACAACTTTGAAGCAAAAAATGGAAAGAGGATGGGGTAGGGGAATCTCATACTAACCTCACATATAAATAAACAGAACAATAAAAGACCCTCAAACAAAAATAATCAAAGCTATAAAAAAAATACCCGTGTTCATTCAAGCAGTAGATGAGTTTCCCCAATTCCACATTCCGTAGCTTTACAAGTGAGTCAAATAAAGCACTGAAGAAAAACATGATTGCGAAGTTTTTAAAATGAAAACTAACTCTTCCAATAAGCATCAATCAAACTATTAAGATGGCATTATTTTACAAATAATTGAAACCAAACAACAGTAAGTTCACAGCAACTCCAATGCAATAGAAAATATAGTATGTAAAACTCATTTAACAAAAAAGAATTTACATGATGGAGAAGCAATCAATCAAAGAGTCAAATAACAGAAAACTTTGTGCAAGCAATTATAATCAAGAGATTAAAAGGCTATTCGAATCGGAGTTTCAAGTGAAATGGTTTGCCTCAACCGTCAGGTACCTGCGAAATGAGAATGTGAAAATTGAGGACAGTAACATGGCATTAAGAATCATCGAATTATAGGGTTTAGCTTTTTATGGATTTCGATTGGAATAGACAGAGATCTGGGAATATGAAGTTTACCATGTCGTTTACATAGGTGACGTACCAGGTAGGTTACCTCGATTTTCTTTCACAACTCGATCGCAACCATGGAGGTGACCTCGCCATTGACGAATCGTATTCGCTTTAGAGAGGAATAGCACTGAGCTCTATGGAAGACGAAGAAGTTAGAAATAATAAGAAAATAAGGAGAGAAAAGAAATAAAGTAATAACGAGTTTCTTATATTTAAAAAATAAGTTCCAGGAAAATTACCACACCTTATCTTGTCTTAGCAACGTGTCATAAGAAAGTAGCTTTATATAAGCTTTGTGAAAACTTTGCCATATTCTATCTGTTGTAGTTAATTGATTGCAGTCAAGTGCCAAATGCGGCATTTCTTGAAAATGCGTGTATTTTTTTTTTGGAGGTTTCAATAACCTCCAATAAATAACCTCCACAAATAACACATTTTTTTGTAGTGAATAATACCCGTAAGACTTCAGATAAGAACAATCCATAATTCCTGCAAGAACAAAAAGAGTATCCGAGTAGTTTTCTCTTTCAACTTTCCAAAGGAAAGTAGTAGGTAACAATCAATAATACCCGTAAGACTTAAGAAAAAATAAAGAATCAATAACAAACAAGAGTGTCCGTGTAATTTTCTCTAATTTAGCTTTGAGGGAAGTACCGAAGTAGGTAAGAAGTTGGCAAAAGCACCTTAATAAGAATTTTTTGTGAAAGATTTTTCAATTAAAAACACGTTTGATAAGTTTTATCGGACTAATGCAGTCAAACACGTCAAAAGGAATGATGAAACCGGTCCCGTAGTAGGAGCTGACGGCACCCAGTCCCGTCAGACACATTAACGATACTCTCACTCCATGTCAGCCAATCCCGTCAGACAACTAACGCAACTAATGAAATAAAATTAAATCTGTAAAAGTATTTGACGTATCTAATTCTGCACATAATTTTGCTAAAATATTATATAATATCATCGTGTTAAATTAACCGAAGATGTACCCACCCTAAGAAAAATGACGTGTTTTATTATAAAAATTGAGAGATAGCTCAATTAACTTTAAATCAAGTTTGATAATCATCAGGTCCTGAAGACTCACAAGTTGCTTTCAACTGTGATAGGTACATTTTATGTATCTAATTGTATTTAAAAAGTTATAATTTATTCTAAATTATTTGTCACTTTAAAAAATAAAAATATATGATATTCTTAACTCTACTTTATTTTTTTATTTCTACTTATTGGAATAAGAATGATCTAATAGAGTGATCAGGTGTAATATAATCAAATAAACTTATATTTTCATTAAATCGAAAAGTATTTAATGAATTATTTAATTTTCGTACAAAAGTTTAAACAATGATTATTTTAAAACTAAAAGAATTTGTACTTTTAAATTTTGTATTATGTACTTTTAAATTTCAAAACAAAACTTTATCGTATTATGTAGTTTTAAATTTTGTATTTTAAGTATTTATATAGAAATTTTGACACAACTTATGCTTATATCATCAGGACAAATAAAATTAAAATATATTAAATATAAATTTTATGAATTTTAATTATCATTTCATTTATGTTTTTATTTTATTTTATTTTAAAAACAAAATATATTTTAAAGTTTTTTTTAATAATTGGCATGATTAGATTTAATTTGATTTTAAATATATTAATTTAATATATTAATTTTAAATAAAATTATAATTAATATATTAAATTATCATATTATAAACATAAATGTATTTAATATATTTTAATTTTATTTATCCTGATGATATAAGCATAAGTTGTGTAAATTATTCCTATGTAAATACATAAAATACAATTAGATACATAAAATGTGCCTATCAATATAGAAAGCAAGTTAAAATATGCCTATCTCTCGATTTTTATAATAAAACACGTCGTTTTTTTAGGGTGGGTACATCTTCTGTTAATTTAACACGATGGTATTATATAATATTTTAGAAAAATTAGTGACAAATATTGTGCAGGTCAATTGTTGAATAGTATGAAATTAGATACGTCAAATACTCTGACGGGTTTAATTTTACTTCATTAGGTCCGTTAGTTTGTCTGAGGGATTGGCTGACATGGAGTGGGAGTGTCGTCAATGTCTCGGACGGGACTGGGTGCCGTCAGCTCCTCCTGCGGGGCAGCCTGCAGAATCTGACGTGGACCAGTAGTCCTGTAACAATACATGACGGGATTGGTTTTGTCATTCCTTTTGACGTGTTTGACTGCATTAGTCCAGTAAAACTTATCAAATGTGCTTTTAATTGAAAAATCTTTCACAAAAAATTCTTACTACGGTGCTTTTGCCAACAGAAGTTATTTGCCACGTCTATTCTCTGACCAAAGTAAATATATGGGTGATGGGTGTTGGTAGTGTAGATCCGAAGATTAAGATCTTTCTCGAGGAATGATTTGTTTCGATTCTTTATTTATTCTATTCCTAATTTTTTGAACAACTAATCAAACTAGTAAAACAAAATACACTTAGCTGAAATTGAGATTAAAAAATAATAATCAGAATATGAAATCAACAAGTACAAAGTATTCAAACAATTTAGAATCAAAATTAAAACTCTAGAATTCTGATTTCAATGACTTTTCCTTAAAAGATACATGTTTGCGTTTTAACTGCTATAGCAACTATCTTGATGGAACTTGATTTTTTGTAGAACCTAACTGAATTTTTCCAAACTCAGTTCTGAAAATGATTCAAATTAATCCCTTAATTTTGAATCAGTTCATTGATGACGTGTAATCAATTTCTACCCCAGATTATCCCTAATCTTGGAATCTTGAATTAATGAAATTCATAAACTCAAATTTTCCAATAATAGTTCATGCAAGAAATATCAAGCCCATTCCCGTGGAACTCAAACCAAGAAAGTTTCACTAATCAAACATCAAGAACATATGCACAACAATTTGAATCAATTAATGGATACTTGTCATCTTCATCAGAATTCTAGAAAAAGAAATTAGCAATGCATGTTGAAGATTGAAGCAAGAATGAAAATTAACATAACAGAAACCATGTTTCGCATTCACGCAGATCAGAAATAGTAAGAGTTAAAAGTACAGACCAATTTGTTATTCACAAATGAAATTGTAAAACTATGAAAGGTTTAACCAAAGTACTGCAAATCCCAAAGGCATGCATGCGAAAATCCCTCCTCTTAAATTCCTTCAAGAATGAAGTCATTCCTTGTGCATGTATCTCCAAGAATTTACAAAGAAAACTAAAGCGCTAAAAAAACTCAAAACTGACTTCAACGAAAATTTTCTTTTGAATTCTACAAAAAGAGACTCTGACTTAAACTAAAGCTTCAAGTAGATGTTGTCCATTTGATTGCTCTAAAATCAATCCATGGTTCAGATTGTTCCACCTCAGCTCTTTTCTTCTACTAAACCGCTATCCTGTAATTAAATGGCAAAAGAATATCAGCATATTTACAAAAATGCCATTATCAGCTCAAATTCCAAAGTGGACTTATTTTTCACATTTTTTTGGGCCCTTTTACTTGCATTTTATTCTATTCAGCCCAAAAAATATAGGAGAATTAATACTAATTTAAGTAGAATTTAAGACTAACAATGGCATGCAGCTGTAAGCAACGCAACCCATCTTCCTCGTGATGTGAATGGTGGATAGCATTAAACAATACCAAGAAACATTCATTACATGGAATGCATGTGTCAGGTGTGCGACTAAATACATAGTCATGTGAAACGTGTCTTTCTGCATTATTCCGTAATACATTTGATCAATGAATTGAACAGGTGAATTTTTTTTGAAAAACGAACCCTTATGAAAACAAACACTGCCAGTAGTTAAGGATTAGTTTTTTTAATTGATTAATTATTTGTCTAGCCTTTGATGGGTATTGTTGCCAACATTGCTTCGGAAATTAAAAACGGGTGGGCTGAATTGATGACTACTAGTAGGCTTGGCAAAAATAAGCCAATTCATGAGTCAATTCATCGGGTTGGCTCGTAACCTGGCTAAAATAAGTCGGGTTGGGTTAGAAAAAAATGAGTTAGTAACTCGAGTCAGCCCGACTCGTTTTAGCTCGAAAAAAACCGAGCCAACCCACGGATCAAACGGGTTGGCTCGCGGGTTATAGTTTTTTTTAATATAAAAATTAATGAAGGTAAAGTGGAAATGTAAAACTTAAAATCTCAAAATCTCAATTCCAAAGATCCAAACAAAAATATCCTGTAGCTGCCAATAAGTCCAAAACCGTGTATTAAGGACCTTTTTTATAGTACGTGTGACAGTGTGAATGTGGTGCCAACTGCCAATAAGTCCAACTCCAAATGAAAAAAATTCTATGATTTATCTGTATAATGTCTTTGTATTGAATGAATTAATAATTTAGAGAAAAAGTTTAGAAGTTATAGTATCAATAAAATTTTATTTTATTTTCCATTTTTCGAGCCAACCCGCGAATCAACTCTAACTCGACTCGGGTCGAGTTGGGTTGGTTTGAGTTTTTTGGCTCGTTTCTTTTTTCGAGTCAACTCTAACCCAGTTAGGCTCATTTTTCTCGGGTTGAACGCGGGTTGGGTCGGGTTGAGCGATTTTGTCAACCCTAACTACTAGTTGAAGAGTAGAAATGGTGCTCGCGGGATTTGAAAACTGTTTCTTGAAAAGATGCAGAGGAAAAAAAAGATAACATCAAAGCTTATCTCAGGTTTAGCTAGAACCTTGAAATGAAGAAGAGGGAATTGGAACAGGTACTACGCAAATATAATCAGATTGATTTGTCCCTGCAAAGTGACCGTGATCATATGGAGAAGATTTTTAGGGATCATGAAAAAGCCAGATTGCCTCTGGAAGCTCAGAAGAAAGAATTTTTGAACAGTGAGAAGGATCTGCAAAAGAAAACTCGATGCCAAAAAAGCATTAGAATTGGAGAATAAGGAGGAGGAGGATTTGGAAGCAATGGAAGAACTTCAAAAAACTCTTGTTGTCAAGGAGTGTAAAATCAATGACGAGTTGCAATTCCAATTCTAATGCTTTTTGGGCATCGAGTTTTCTTTGTAGCTCATGAATTTTGTTTTGTAGTTTCTCCTTTACTTTTTGCGAAGTTCAACCACAAAATGACTAAGTCAAAATCTTAATTGGATACAAGTAACTGAATTAATTAC